CCTTTTACTTTGTATTGCCACTGGGCGGAAGTATGTCCAGTTGGTTCAAAGTTATCCATATGATTTTCAATTAAAAATTTGAATATATTAAAGTGGAAAAACTCTTTTCTGCAACCTACATAGACGCCCTTATTAATTAAGTGACTCAAAAAATGAAAAATATGAGGTAATTTCATTTTATGCTTTAGCAGTACGTGAAGTAATCTCTTCTATGATACATGTGCACCATCAACTACAAATTCCTTAGATATGTACTATCCTAGACATTGCCGAAATATAATACCAAAGTCCAATTCCCGTGAGAGGATGGACATATTTGATGTGGCATTCACAGACAGGGAATAAAGTTTCTTAATCACCATTCATCAATTCTGAGATCAGAGCCAGGACAAGCTCTTGCGAAATAATTTCTTAAAATCACAGGCAAATAAAAAAAGCTGAACGTGACAACCTGTGGTCACCCTATTGACTCGTTATAAGTGACCAAAAGCGGAGACTACCGACAAGGGGAAATCGGGAGGTCAAGGTAACAATAAATGAAGTGGGTATATCTCGCAAATACGATCCACGTAACCCATGCAATTTTCATTGGAGGAGCGATTTGGTAATTTTTCAACTTTAAACTTTACGTGGATTATCCATCATGGTGACTACTGCCATAGTATCCTGAATATGCTCGCATGTTAGAATACGTGAAATTCAGTATATTACATCAAGCATGCTTTTCATGATCATGCTTATCCACGGACATTACCTTTGCAAAGTCGTCAAGGTTGAACGGGACAATCTTCTTAAGGGCCGCTTCTGCAGTTGCCTGCACATCTACTTCATCGTCACTACAATCAGATCTTGCTTCAGCGCTGCTGTTCCATTCTTCTTCGTTACTTGCTTCATTCTCATCCTCAGTCTCTGACTCGGAAGCACAATCCTCTGCAGATTCGGCATGGTCATCATCTGATTCTGACGAGCAATCCTCACCAAAGTCCTGCATTGAGGTCACCAGAATATGTACATTATCATTTAACAGAGGGTAAAACATTTCAAGCTTTTGAGGACATTCCGATCTTACATATGGAGCAAGTACGCTGCTGTCAAGCACCAGCAAAGGAACTTGTAGATCCCGAGCAAGTGCTCTAACTAGCCTCTCTCTAAAAAGTTCGGTACCTGCATTAGTCAGGGTATCAGTTGCTTCTTCCCTTTTCTAGAGAAATCTATTCACAGAAATTTTTGCCTCATTAAAAACAACAAAAAAAATGAATCTCAAAAGTCCACCTGGAACACTCTGAAGCAGTATTCTCCCGCTGGAAGAATTTAAACGAGCACCATAAGATGAATTGATCTTCTTATGTTTCATATGAGACGCTGCACATTCTACCAAAGTATTTTTGGTGTGTTCGCTGAATAAAAGAAGATGCAAAATTACGACTTTAGTAACAGTAAGATCAGTTCGTCTGGGAGATCTATAGAGTACTACCTGTATTATCAGTAAAATACAGAAATTATGTATTGAATATACAAAGAGTAGTAATTACTTAATGTAATAAGGAAATGTCTCCCACGAAACACTTATTTTCTCCCAAGGAACAATCCTTCGCAAAAACTCGTTCTTGAATTTTTCACGCCTACTAAGGAAAGGCGGGTCTTTCTTTTTACTTTCAATTGCCAGTTTCTCATTGTGAAGCCATTCCTTTTGATCCTGTTCGCCCAGTCTCGCATGCGCATCGCGACCGGTGACAACTTCAGTGGCTGTTTCTCTGTCCCGCATGGATTTTCCTCTATCGATGCTAGACCCATCTTTAGTGGGTTCTTGTTTATCCTCACTTGCATTTCTTCCATCACCTTCAGAACTGTACGCACGTAACTGACCACTGTTCAAACTAGAATAATGCCACGGGTACAAGCCTTTAACGTAAGTTCCTGCTGCAGCACCACGAGATGAAGGCAACTCTGACAGGTATCTTCTGATTGAACTGAACTGCAGATGGTGGATTTCCGAGACTGCTATGCAGCTCAAAGGCCGAGAAGGAGCACGCTCTTGAAAGTGAGACCTAAGTAATTTGGATGATTGAACCATAACACTCCATCTTTGCTTTTTGCACTTCAATCTACTTGCATACATGGCAACTAATCTTTCAATTTCTTCCAACTGCAAATTCTACCTGTATAAGTTAACCATTTAATTTTCGTTCATATGCAGAGACATCCCAAGCAATAATATAAACTCCACTCACATGAGAAGTAATGAAAAATTGAAACTAAGAGGGAAAAAGGAAGAACGCAAAGGTGAAAACAACATAGGCTCTAATCACTTAATCTTACTTTAGTTTCAAATTATCTACAGCAGAAAGATTTTGTTCAATTATGGCTAGGATTTTGGGGCTCTTTTGTACACAACACTTAGAAGTCATGAACCTAGCCTAGCAACTGATATCGTTCAACTGACAATAGCAGAGTCAGTGCAAATGAACTTAAGGAACAATACATCTTTTACATCTTTTCACGTGACAAAATTTTAAGTAAACTTTCCACAGAGTCCGAAGTTATTGCAGTCGGTTCTACCACAGAAGAAAGAATGAGATTGCACCAACCAAAATGGGTTCTGCCATTGATCACACAGAAATAAGTGATAATGGCTACCATACTTAAAGGAAAAGGGGGCAATTTCACCACCCCACAAATCATTAAAGGTTGAAACTCATCGCTATTCTACGAGGGGGAGCAGATAGTCCAAACAAACCTCTAGAAACTAGCTAAAGGATTATTCACACGCGAAAGCTTGAAAGCTCTAACCAATATATCAATCTACACAAGGCTCTGACTTACACAATCCAATACACTTGTTTAAGTGTCAAGAGGGAATCCCAGTTTTCCCGTCGTATAAATTATCTAATCTTAAACACTACACTGAAAAGCACTGAACATTTATCCTGCTACTTCCCCGCATTTCCAACACCAAATGGCGAACCGAATTCGAATCTTCCCACCACGAAAACAATCGAGGCAATTGCATCCCTTGCATTCCCAAATGCACCAGCAAGCAACCACAACAACGCACGCCAATGCAAGAGACGATGAACAAGAACCCAGCAAAGAGACAGAAAAACGAGCATCAGATTGTACCTACGGCGTGCTCGAGACCTAGGGGCGGCGCATGGCCGTTTCACAGACGATCCGCGGCGAGAGGCGCGAGAAACTCAGCCGCTTCAATCAATGGGCAGCTCCAAAAAATGACGGAACTTTCGAGGGTGGAGCTGAACGGTGGTGGCGGGGGGGAAGAGAGCGGTAAAAGAGGAAGTGGGAGAAGCTGCGAGAAGAACGTTCGGAGAGACAAGATCTGGTCCCGGGTCACTGCTCTCTCTTTCTTCCCTCGTTTTGTTTCCTTATTTTTGGCAAAGCTGGTTTGACGCCTCGAGCTCGTGCGTCTCCCGAGCAGAAGAAAGCTCTTCGCCTCCGTGCGCTGCGCCTGAGGTAGGGAAAGGGGGTGTTGCCGCCGTGTCTTCGTGCGAAAGAATGTAATATCTAATCGGCCTAACATCGGAAGTCCTTCCGAGGATAACATTGGTTCCGGTCGGAGGTCTCTGAAGAACACGAGAAGTGGGTGGACGGGACTGGTGCGCGTCGCGGCCCAACAACGGCTTCGGCCCATTTTCGATTGCTTTCCTGGTTTGGCAGTTTTATATTTTGCTAGAACGGCACCGTCTCTGCAAAAAACTAGTTATTTAGTTGATCGCTGAGTTAAATATTGATTATCAAATCTAATGAACAAGGTGTTAACCTCGACGGCCGAGGAGTTTGTTCCATTCCATGTGGTCTTTGGACTCGACTTTTGTCCGAAGCCTTCGGAGTAAAATTCTAAATGCACCGGATGGATGTGAAAAGACATGCCGTTAAGATTGTCCGAGGAGGTGGACCAATGGAGGTGCACGAATAACTGACATATGCACATTATTTGTAATTATCTCTTAAGGAGTAGGGGTGATCAGTTTTCGAGTGGTCCGATTTCTAGATGGGTAAATGGAATCGGTAGCATTTTTATTTTTTGTAAGAAAACTGCACCATATCAATTGTCGGCGCTATCTTATAAGTTACTAGCTGACCAGTAGGATTATCATTCTTCTTACGGCCCTTGGAGACGTGAGAAGGAGACGAAGGAGTGCGAATCAATGAGGAAAAAATTTGGCTGTCGCTAAGCAAGAGTTCAGTGGAGGTATTATATAAGCCAACAGATAAGATGATGCGTTAACTCTCCGGGCCATGCAAAGTGAGAGTCGTGCTCGGTTAGCAAATTGTCAAGCTTCCATCTTTAGGCCACTTTGGTGGACGCACCTGGAAGGAAATCGAGGGCATCCATTCATTGCACGATTAATTGCCAAAAACTGAACCTCAAGCACTTAGGATTTTCTAAAATTTGTAAGCAATTGAAAAAAGAATCGGTTCGGTCCAAGTGGGTGGTTCCACTCCGGGAACCAGACCGTTGACCCTCAGAACCGCCCAAAATCGGCCGGTTCGATTCGATCCAGATGGTTCCTTTTGCTCATTTCTAGTTCAAGTTCGCAGCACTATTAGAAGACGGCGGACTTAATGACAAAATTCAGTTAATTTCTTAATTCTGAAGCAAATTCCACATTCAATTTCTATAGATATTTCCCACGCCAAAGCATTTACACGGATTATCAATAGTTTTTCTTTTGTCATTTTGATTTATTTTTTTAAAATGTTATTCTTTTATCTTAACTTTTTAATCTTCCTTTCTACTTTTTTTTTTTCAATTCGAGGCCAGAATGTTATTATCGAGACGTGCATTCGGTACTTGTATAAAGCTTTCTCAATGCGAGCTTCCATATACCGTGCAATGACTATAGTTTGTGCAAGAACATAAAAAATGAAAATTACCAACTGTTTTTATGCTGTCGTCTACAAATTGTCGATATTTTTCTCGGATAACCATTTTTATTTTATCATGCATATTAATAACCTTCTCATAGAAGCACAAACAAATATGAACAATGGACGCACCATTGGCTATATATATAAATATATAGTCAACAAAGTTGATTTCAATCAAACAGAAAAAAGCAACTACCAAGAAGACATCGGAGTCTCATGAATCGACGCCATAAAAACAGACCTGACTGCAACATAAAACAAAGACAGAAAGACAGAGCGAGAGACAGTTCCTTCCTTTATTTACGACGACATAATCAAGAAAATATATGATCTCCCGATGCCGCTTTTGAAACCCTAAGGTTTCCATAGAATGGTCGTCTCGGCGATCATGGAGGTGACAACGTACGGGTCCATGTTTGATGCAGGCCTTCTGTCTTCAAAATAGCCTGTCCATGTCCAAAAGAGAGGAGAAACGGAAGAAAGAGTGAATCACAATGGCGATGTAGATGTTTCGAGGAATGAACAGTAAATAAGCACAGAGCTTAGGGCAAAAGGCGGTTCTATCGCGAAAACCGGTCACCTTTGCCTTCCTTCTCGGTATCGCGGCCCACGCGGACGGATGCCCCTCGGTTCGCAACACCCTGAGTATCGTCCAAGCCAATAAAATAAGTAATTTGTTTACTTTCTTTGTTCATAGAGAGAGATCGGGGCAACGGGGATGACATGAATCGAGAAGGAAAGGGAAAGAATGAGGTTTTTCCTTCGCCGACAGGCCCAAACTTACCCAAGAGAAGGTGTTGATGTCCGCCGTCTCGTGACGGCCCGTCAGCCTCCTCTCGTTGCCCTCTCCGTAGGCGGCAATGTGATGCTTGTGGCGCAATCCCAGCTTCTCGATCGCCTTCTTGATCACGTCGAAGCCGCCATCCTCCCTCATCGACTTGGTGCTAAACAAAAGAATCAGACACGGTGCTTTAAGCAACTAAACACCCTCCATTCCATAGTTTCAATGTTATATGATCGTCTTCTCCTTTTTCACTCTCGAAGACGGAACTAGAAAATCACCTGTAGTTAGTGTGAGCTCCGGCACCGTTCCAGTCACCCTGCATACCATACCAAAGATGAGGGAAAGAAAACGTGATTTTGATAGACAGAAGGTAAAGTCAATTCGATCCATTTCGAACGGACCTTGATCGGTTTCGGGTCGAAAGTGAGGACCACCCCAGCAATTTCTGTGATCCTCTGTTGGGTCGATCAAATAATAGACATCGTCAAACGACAGACCATAAAACACCATGGTAGGAAAAACATGCACGCAAACACAAATTAGAAGAAAAATGTATGATCAAATAGTGTTAGGTCCGACCTCGAGAATGTAACGGGCGACCCATATTTGGTCTCCGGCGGAAATGCCGACCGAAGGGCCCACTTGGAACTCCCACTGTTCACGACCCAATCATTAATTAGCACAAGACAGAAACATTGATAAAAGCGCGTGAGTGCACAATTCAATTAGTCGATTTGAGAAACTTGGGGCGTACTTGACCCGGCATGACTTCGCCGTTGATCCCGCTGATGTTGATTCCGGCATACAAGCAGGCCTTGTAGTGAGAGTCCACTATGTCCCGGCCAAACGCCTTGTCCGCTCCCACTCCGCAATAGTATGGTCCCTGCGGACATGTTTAATGAATCAACACTTATAGGTAGGTATGATATATATTCGAAGGTTCGGTCGAGTCAACTAGAATTTGCCAAATGGACAATATCGAACGGCTCCTAAGAGTTAGAGCTCATCGAATTTTAAGTTCGATTTTAGGCGTCGATTACCTGAGGTCCAGGGAAACCGCCCACCGGCCACCCGAGAGGCCAGTGGACGTCCTTCTGAAGGAGCGTGTACTCCTGCTCGATGCCGTACCTGATCGCGACACCGACAAAACATCAGTCTCTAGTAAACATTCTAGTGTTGATTCCAGGCACACGTTTTTATAGTTTCGCTCTAGTCATTTTCATCGTACCAATGTTTAACATTTGCATTCTCAAAGGTACCCAAATTTCCAAAAAAAATAAAAACCAATCTCCAAAATATATATTTACACCAACTACCCTGCAATGGCACATGATTCCACCTACCCCCAAATTTCATTTTAGCTTTTCCAATATATTATAGGTCGAATAAATTATTAACTTGAATGGTTCCGAGGACGATGACAATGTGCCTACAATAAGAAATAAATAAAACTACTTTGTAACTTTCGCTGGCCAAACTCGCACTTGCACCTCATCCACTCATTCATGTCGTATACAATTGGTACCTTGCAACACGAAGCCACTCGTAGAGTGTGGCCTCTGCAATTATGAGGACGTCAAACGAAATATAATGTGGAAAATATAAGATAAAACAGCCTTAATCATGCTTTTTTCCAAAAAAATAGAACTGAAAACTATGAATTACCAGGGCTCTTCGGCGACGACGTCGGGGTGACTGAAGACCTTGGCGGCGTCGAACCTCTTGTTGGTCGGGATCGGCTCGCCGGCGGGCGTGTAGGCATCGCACATGACCTAGGACAATCGATTAATGACGTCATTACCATTTATTTACATCCGGAAATAAAAATAAAAAATCTAATCCCTCCACTAAAATCGCGGAAATTTTAATTTACCAAGATATTGTCTCCTCTTCTGAAGGGATCCTTGAACACCGCCTGTGGGCTGTCCAAAAAAGAAAAGAAAAATAAGACAAGTGATTAAAGATTCCCGGAGATGCCCGGAATCTCGAATCTCCACCGTCCGTTATCCTCGGGAACTCCGAGGATCCGGGGGATCAAAGTCGACGGTCAACGCCGGAGATTTTGGCCGAGAACGAAAGATCCTATCCTCCGTTACCGAAAGAGAAATACGTACTACAGGATGACTTCACTGTCGTCGCCAGGGGCCTGGTCCGTGCTCGAGCCGTCGTAGTTCCACTTCGGCAGCTTGGCCGGGTCGGTCACCGGACCCGCCAGCGTCTGCAAAAAAAAACACAGAACGTTCGCCGGCGAATGAGAAAGAAATGACCTTGGAGATGGAAAAACAGGGGGACGTCGGAGCAAGCCTAAGAGGAGGAGGAGGAGCGAAGAAGACTTGCCCTGGCCTTGCTTCGCAGGTCGATGCCCGAACCGCCGATCCTGCGCAGAGAAGAGAGGACGCATCATCGCGCGGATGACTTTTCACGGAGGAAAGAGAGACAGTGAGAGAGAGAGAGAGAGAGAGAGAGAGAGAGAGAGAGAGAGAGAGAAAGAGGGAGAGGGGACCGACCATATGTACTCGGCGATGATCTTGTCGGTGGTGTCGGAGAGGTTGAGGTTGATGAGATCGTTGAGAGCAGACATGGCGATTCACGGCGAGCTGGTATTGGTTGCGAAGGTCGTGGTTGACGGAGAAAACAGAGAGAAAAGGAAGGAGTACCGAGAGAGGCGCAGGGAGAGAGAGAGAGAGAGAGAGAGAGTCGGGAGGCGAAGCGTTTGTGTTTTTTTGGCTATAGAGAGGCGAAGCGTTTGTTGGTAGGCTTGGGAATCGTTTCTTCTTTTGAGTTTAAATAGGAGCGATTCCAAGAGATTAGTAAGCTAATTACCAGCCAAAGAAAAAAAGGAAGGAGTATCCCCCGGCATATACAATTGAAACTTTATGGCAAGAGTCGGCGAGCTTCCATAAACAGAGCGGTCATATGGATTTTTAGACGGTTAGGTCTAAATAATATATGATATAAAACGAAGATTTTGCCATTATTTGGTAGGATTTACGTACCGGTGTAAATTAAAGCTGTCAAAATGGAATACCAATCTATGTTTTAACACACATTAATTAAAGTGAGTGCAAGTCAGTTCAAATTTGTCATACGAACAATAATGGGCTTTGAAAAGAAAAATTGAAAATAAATGGATCTGAACGAGTCTATTCCGAAACCAACTTTCAACGACCAAAAAGAAAAAACAGAAACCAACTTTCAGCCCTTATAACTAGAAAAGTAAATAGGTCTAGCCTGTCTTTATTCTTGCTAGTCTCTTCTCCTCATCGACAGAATTTCTGGAGAGCGACCTTTGCCGTTGTGACAGCTGCAGCTTCCATCTTCTGCAACTTCTGCTCTTTGCACCACTCCTTCTCCTTCATGGCGTCCAAGACCATTTCGCTTCATATTGGCACCCCAACTTCGCCTCCCTCTCTATCCCACCCGCTCTCGCTGTGTTCTCCCTCTTCCTGTTCAAACTCGACCTCACGACCGCTCTCCAAGTCCTCCGTCGTATCACCCAAAGAATCCTCGAGATGTGTAATCGTTCTCAATTCCGACTTTTCTCCTAATTAGGAAAACTTTTTCATTTGTATATTTATATCGTTGTTCGTCATCGGTGGTAGTTCATTGAATGCTTTGAGAAGAAATCATCTTGTTCTTGTTGGTGAATAGACTTAGCTTTGCAATTATCTGATTGGACAGCTTGGTTTGTTTTCAGTGAATGATTTACCGAGCGCTTTCTGCACTCTTCTGTTGCAGCGGATAGTCAAATGATTAAATGACAGTCTTTAATCTCTCGCAAGATTAACAATACGTTATGAACTAAAAAAATTAATGATAAATTATTATGAGGTCCATTCCTTTACGAATTTGTGGCTTATAGTATTTTGTTACTCTCACGGTGGCCAAAGACTCTTATCTAGCAAAGCCCTTTGGGATAATATGTTAGACCCCACATGTTCTCATGTTTTGTCATCAACACTTGAACTCTGTGAAAACAAGTTCTTAAATAAGTCTTGTAGTATAATGACGTAACCAGTAGTGCGAGCTCGCTTGAAATGCTCCCTTTTTTTTCAAGTCTTTTATGTAAAGAATGTATAAACGCAGTTAGTAGTGTGTTTTAATAATGAGTCGGGTTAGGTGTGGTCATTAAATTTGTATCGCATATAAATGAATTAATTTGGGTTGAACCTTTTCGACCTGACCCGACCTACCATTTGAAGGCCTTACTTGTCATCAAGCAAGATTCACCATCCTTTGCCTCGTATAAATATAAAAAATATCGAAATGCATAAAAGTTAGGAAGAGTAAAGCAAATATAGGGAAAAAAAAATAGTTGTACGTTTATCCATTGTAAATATCGATTTTAATGGGCTTTAACTGAGTGGGTACATTTTTTTCATATGTTGGGTAAAATAGTTTCGTGCATGGCTGCTCTTGTGAGTCCAACAAACTATTAGCCTCCATCACACGAACGAGATTATTTGTGTATATCAGTGAGATTCAGTTTGCGTTTGTTTTTGAAAAAGTCAAGATTTTTTTATTTTTTTTCCCTAGCTTCAAATCTTTTATATCTTATAAGAAAATAAATTAATGAAAAATATATTTATTAATAGCAATAACATATTTCTAAATACTTTTTCGAGAATGAAAACATTTTTTGCAACGCATTTTTCTAAGTGATATAGACAATTGAAATTTTTTGTATAATTGATTTTCCTCGAAGGAAACACAACCTCAGTCAAATCGAAAATTCTTATTTTGTACTTATATTTCAAAAGAATAAAGTGGTACAGAGAGAATGTAAAGTCCGTACTTTCGTTTAGGATGCGATATAGATAAGTTCACCGGCAAAGTAAAAATTATTGTTTAATTGCCTCGAAATAGTACAATTCATCTGTTTGCTCCGAATAATTTCGATTCATGAATTTACATTGTTGGAAGAAATTAAGGGAAAATTTCAATTAAATGCCCGACATGGACTTTGTGTCAAATAAGAGTTTGAAATGTCATGTTCGTTTCAAATAAGGACTTAAAGTGGCCATAACAGTTTCAAATAAGGGCTTGACCTCCCTAGTTGCTAGCTGACGAAATATTCCAACTAGTCAAGAGCATTTTTGTCTAAAGATAATTTTAATTTTTTTCTTTTTTCCTCTTTTTGGTTTTCTCTTTGTTCTTCGCTAGTGATTGACCATCGGTGAAGCTTGGAAAGGGCTGGGCGAGGGCAACCCTTGCTCGGCCCTAGCCGGCAGCAGGCGAGAGACGGCCTTGTTTGGACAAGGCAACCCTCGCTAGCCATGGGTAAGGCCCGCCCTTGCTAGATGTGGGTAATGGTCGCCTTGCTAACTACCGACGAGGCTGCCCTCGAAAGCCACAGGCGAGGGACGGCCTCGCTAGATTGGGCGAGGGCGATTGTTGCCCCACCCTTTCCGGGCTTCGCCATTGCGAAGAAAAATGAAAAAAAAACAGAAAAAGGAAAAAAATAACAAAAAGTCAAAGGACGGAAATGCCTTTATTATGCGGAAAAGTCAAGCCCTTATTTAAAATATACATTATCACTTCAGGCTCTTTTTTGAAATAGACATAGCTACGTCGAATCCTTATTTGAAACAAAATCCACTACAAACCCTTTTTTGAGAAAATGAGGATACTTCAGGTCCTTATACGAAACATTGTTCACTTCAGACCCTTATTCGAGAAAATGATAGAACTTGATGCTCTCATTTGAAATTTTCTTGGAAATTAATTATGTACAGCCAAAAAAAGAGGAAAGTAATCGTGCATATCAAATGCGATCGCCAAGTTGGAGGAAAAAGAGATAATGAATTTACGCACACGAAATTTTTATTTTTCATTCTCACCCGTTTGCTATTATTTTCTCTTGGTCGACATTTTCCTCTATATTTCTCATTTTTCTCCATTCTTTTTTTATCTCATGCCAATTTTTCTTACCCTTGTACTTGTTATTGGCAGGAAAAAAAAAAAAAACCCAACACAACGAAGGATGGGCCCGGCAATGGGCTTGGGCCGTGGAAACACGGTTTTCACAGGCCCAAGAACGAACGGTGGAGACGGACAGCGCCGAGCTTCCGCCACAGCTGCTCTCACACTCGCGCGAGCACTCGCATAAACCCTAAGCAAGCTCTCTCTCTCCTCCCACCGCGGCCTTGGCCACTGAAATCTGTTTAAAAGGAGAAGCCAACCCCCGTGTGATTCCCAAAAACCCTAGCCAAATATCCTCCTCCCCCCTCCTCCTCCTCTCCACCACGCCTAGGGTTTTTGCCGAAACCTCTAGCCTCCGCCCCTCTCCGCCAGTCTCCGACCTCGAAGTCCTCCGTCCTTCCGTTCTCCGATGGGCAAGTCGAGCAAGAAATCAGCTGCCATGGTACGCTCTCTGTCTCTCTCTCTCCCGTTCTGTTGATTTTGGTGTAAGTTTTGTCCGTCGAGTTCGCTTCGGCGTTCTTATGGGCTGAATCTTTGTCGTTTCGTCCGTTTGTTCCTAGGTCGCCGCTCCTGCTGCCGTGCCGGCGTCGAAGTCTGCAAAGAAAGGTAACAGCTTCATTAGCCACGACCTCTTTGGCAGGTTTATTCTGGGGAACATGCATTTGGTGATGTCGCTTTTCGTTTCTTTTTTTCCTTTTTTTTTTCCCCGTTTTGAGCTTATTGATTGTGCGATTTCGTGCTTCAAGCTGGGTTCTTGCGTGCTCTGTTTGTGTATAAGCGTGAAGTAGTAGTTTGGTTTTATATGCGTCTGTGCTGGGGTTCTCGCGTGCTCTGTTTGTGTATATGCGTGAAGTAGTAGCTTGGTTTTATGTGCGTCCGCGTGTCAAGCTGGGGCTCTCGCGTGCTCTGTTTGTGTATATGTGTGAAGTAGTAATTTGGTCTATGTGCGACCGCGCGTCAAGCTGGGGTTCTCGCGTGCTCTGTTTGTGTATATGCGTGAAATAGTAGATTGGTTTTATGTGCCTCCTCGTTGGAGTAAATTTGCAAACTTTGCGGTTGATGCGTAGGTAAAAGAGAAGTTGAAGAAGTACCGGAGAAGCAGGAGAATGCAAAGAAGCAGAAGAGCGAAGGGATAGAGCAGGCGATTCAGAAGAAGAAAGCTGAAGCCAAAACAGCTATAAAGAAGAAAGTGGACAGTAGTTCAGAGGATTCATCTTCGGATTCGGAGGAAGAAATTAAGATCCCTGCACAACAGAAGAAAGTTGTTTCAAAGGAATCATCGAGTGATGAATCAGAATCTGATAGCTCTTCAGATGAGGAAGCTGTGAGGACAGCTAGTATTTAAGTTTTACTGATATAGGACAAATTGTCATGTGTTTTGTTTATGCTTTTCAGGATAAAAGTAAAGGAAAAGTCCAGCAGAAGCAGCCTGCAAAGAATGGTTCTGTCACTCTTCCCAAGAAGGATGAATCTACCGATAGTTCCGATGAGGAAAGCAGCGATTCAGATGAGGAAAATGTAAGTATACTAGATAGTAGATACTTTATTGTTGTATTGAATTTTAGCCAGCTATTTATAAAAATGTGGGCCATCTCTTTGCAGACCAAAAAGGCACCAGCCAAGATTACTAAGACGGCTACCAAGAAAGATGAATCTAGCGACGAATCTGAAGAAAGTGACTCTGATTCTGATGAGGTTTGTATGCTAATAATTATATTCCTGAGAACAGAAGACATGGGTTTTCTTTCTTCTCCCGCTTTAACAATTAGCTCCTTGCACACAGGATGAAAGTGCTAAGAAACCAATTTCAGCAGTTCCTGAAAAGAAAGTCGAATCAAGTGATGATTCCTCTGATAGTGAATCAGAGGAAGAGGTTTGTTCTCTTTTCCTATCTCAAACTTGCTTTTTATGTTGTGTATTTGAGGCATTTTTGTGCAATTGTCTTACTCCTGCAGCTTGATGCAGGAAGTTATTGTTCAGAACAGTGTTAAAAAACCAGCTAACACTGTAGCAAAGAAGGAATCCAGCGAGAGTAGTTCTGAAGATGAGTCAGACAGCAGTTCAGATGATGATGTGAGAGGCTTGTATTTACTCGGTCATATAATTTGCGAATTTATTTGTTTTCCCAAATTTTGTTTGTGCAATGACCTTGAATGTCATTTTGACGTCTCCTATTTTAGATTTCATATATGTTGACCGATACTGCATCTGTCACTACTGGTTTTTGCATGCATACGTGTAGATGTTCAACAGATTGCATTGCTTTACAGATTTGACTTCGTATTGGTTTGTATTGTACCTAGTGTATCCCATCAGTTTGTGGTCGATATTTTCTCATGCTCATTTTTTGGCACCTTTCTAATATCCTTTTGGACACACGATTTTACTTCTAATTCTTTCCTTTTGCTGATAATGAACTTGTGATAAATATCTACTAAAAGACTATTGAGTTCGATTAGCAATGGTTGCCACTATTTTTCTCTCATGGAGTCTGAATCAGTTTGTTTTCTGTAGATGCTTGCAAACTTTGTATCGTGAAAATTCTATCTATTGTAGTGTGGTCTTTTGCAATTGGATGCCTTCTTCGAACTTGTTCGTTTTGTCCTTATTCCTCGTTCTTCTTTCGTATTTTACAGGGCCCACCTACGAAGAATGCTGTGGATGTTTCTGCTAAGAGGCCACGTGCGACAGCTCAAGCAAAGCAGACCCAGCAGGTTTATCTTGTTTGTCTTTACATTGCGTGGTGTACGATTGGGTTACCAAGTCAGACCTAAAGTTTTGCTTTATCGTTTCCCCTCTTCTGTCTTTCATTTGTGCTTCTTTGTTTATTATTCTTTTGTTTCGGTTGTGGGGTTGCTTTTTTTTTTTTTGAAAGGAAATAAATGGGTTTGGGAAGGAAGGGGGTTGGACTGGTTTAAAATTGTTACTGTCAATGGGGTTGTGATGACTTGAATCAACAAGAATAAAAAAAAACAATCATCGAACTGATTGTGTCTTGTTGAAGAGTTGATTGATGTCACTGCGCTACCACTGAGGCTGAGCGGTTGGTGCTTGGTGCTGCAGGTAAAGATGGATGTTGATGAAAGCGACAGTGAGGAGGATGATAGTTCAGAGGAGAGCGATGAAGAGCCACAAAAGAAAAAGGTTGGCACATAACATTTCCGTTTCTCCTGTGTGTATGTTGCTTAAATGTCCTTTTCAGTATCTTATAGGTAGGATCCCAATGCCATTTGTTCTTGCCTTTTCTTTTCAGGCCAAGATTCCTGTAAACAAGTCGAACGGGAAAGTTAGTAAAAAAGAAAGCAGCAGTGATGAAGAAACCACCGATGACTCCGATGACAGCTCAGATGATGAGCCCAAGAAGACATCAAAGAAGGTAAATGTACGGGACATGCATGTTTAATGGTCAGTGATTCTTTGTGGATTCTGTGGAAAGTGTATTTTTAATGGCCACTCCCCCACTTTTCTGCTTGCCCCCCATATGCGGTCAGTTTGCTGGATGAATGCATATAGGAAAGGATGGTGTTGAGAACAGTAATTTTTTGTCGTTTTTCTATTCCTGAGTTTTCATCCTGGGATGCATGGACACTGAGACCATCCATAGGGTAATGATTACTTGTTTGTTTAAGTGGATACGTCAACCTTGTGCTGTGAGAGAGAGAGAGAGAGAGAGAGAGAGAGAGAGAGAGAGAGAGAGAGAGAGAGAGAGAGAGATCACCTAGTCCTTTTGTTATATTTTTGAATGTAGTAGTATCATTTAAATTTTCTTACTTCAGTGTAAATGGGAGTCTTCTAATATGTGGTTTGTTTTGGACTTCAAATATATTTTTACAGGATGCTGATGCAGATATGGTAGATGCTTCTCCTGCCTCAAAAGAAATGTCGGAGAAAAAAGCGGTATGACTCCTTTTGCCGTTGCTTGTCCTGTCCTTAGCTCCTGTTCCTCAAACCACCTATCATCATCTTTTTGATATTGTGAACTCATGTTAATTCTCGATGCAGCCGAAAACGCCTGTTACATCTCAAATCACGGGCTCAAAAACTGTCTTCGTTGGTAACCTGCCATACTCAGTTGAAAAAGCTGATGTGTAAGTGTTGCTTTTTTGACTATGGAGCGTGGTCATGTATTATCACCTGACAAATTTCGTTTTGCAGAGAGAAGTTTTTCCAAGCTGCTGGTGAAGTTCAGGATGTACGCTTAGCTGTTGATGCTGATGATAGGTTCAAGGGGTTTTGTCACGTTGAATTTACCACAGCTGAAGCAGCACAAAAGGTTAACTGTCATTTTGATAGGGCTAATTACTTTTAAAATCAGCCAGCTTGCGGCTTCGACTAAATATTTCGTCGAATCTGGTGGTGCTTTACTCATTTGTCATATACTTAGGAGATGTTGAAGGTTTTCCTGTAATCATTGTAGCTACTCACGGATGGCGAAATGAATGATGAATTTCATTGGTGTACCAGTGTGTCTAGGTTATTTTGGTACTCCTGGGTTTTATTGATTCGCATAATTGACTTCCATTGCAGGCTGTAGAATACAATGGAGAGTATCTTAACGATCGCCAGATGAGAATCAGTTTGGCGCACGAAAGGGGAGCGTATACTCCACAAAGCGGGTAAGTTTCTAACTGAACTTTGAATAAATATCCCGTAGCAGTAAATCACTAGGTCTAATGATAATTTAATTTGCAGCAAAGGTAACTTCTCATCGCAGAAGGGAGGAAGGGGTCAGGCCCAAACTGTTTTTGTGAAGAATCTTGACAAGTCTGTTGGGGAGGACCAGGTACTAAAATTGTTCTCTCTTCTGGTGAATTGTGCGACTGTTTGATTCTGGGTTCTAAAAATGTTATCCCTTCTGAATGTCAGTTAAGAAGCAGCTTGACAGAGCATTTTGGGGCCTGTGGCGACATTTCAAGAATCTCAATTCCTAAGGATTATGACTCCGGTGAACCCAAAGGGTATGTTCTTTCTTTCCATCAGCTGTATCCTTAAATTGATGAGGAAGAGGAAAATATTCTTAGGGTGCGTTTGTTTCGCAGAAAATAAATGATTTGAAAAACTTTTTCCTGAAAATGAATGATTCGAAAAACTTTTTCTTAAAAATGATCGCTTGTATTGCTTATCAAAACGAATGAACGGAAAATATTTTTATCATACACGAAAATCTTTAGACATTAATTGTTGTCGATAAATAAAATGTTTTTCTTTAACTTATCATTTAAAGCGATAGAAGCGATCATTTTTAGGGATATATTTTTCAAATCATTCATTTTCAGCAAAACAAACCGGGCCATAGTTTATAAACTTAATTCTTGTTTGATCAAAGTTCAAAAACCCAATGGTTTGTCTTTAATGTGGGAATATTGATTTTTACATAATCTTTTGCAGGTTTGCTTACATTGACTTTACAGATAGCAACAGTTTCAGCAAGGCTTTAGAGCTTAATGGGACTGAACTAGGTGGTTATCCAATCGCGGTGGATGAGGCAAGACCGAGAGGTGACAGTGGTGGTGGTTTTGACGGTGGCAGAGGAGGTGGAAGGAGTGGTGGAAGGAGCAGTGGTGGAAGAGGTGGTGGAGGTCGCTTTTCTGGCAGAGGGGGTGGCCGTTTTGATGGTGGCAGTGGAGGTGGCCGCTTTGGTGGTGGCAGAGGAGGTGGCCGCTTTGGTGGTAGAGGGCGTGGGACACCTAATAGACAAAGCATGTCAGCATCCGGTATGTCTTATGATTATTTGGTAGAACTATCAGTTTTTCCCGGTCAAAAATATTCCGTTTTCATTGGTACATAGGGAAATGATCCATGAAATAAGAATGTTGGTAATGGAGCTTGTAATTGGTGTGACCTCGGGACTTTCTTTTGAGGGTTTTACTCCTCGGTGCCCTGCTCAATTGATCAGCAACTCCTCCCATCCTTTACCCTTTGGGTTTTTTAAGTCTGCTGACATTGATGATGTCAGGTCCTAAGTGAAGTGCTTTCGCTAATTTATCCACACTGTAGCATCGGGGTAAACTTCACTCAAAATGTTCCAGCACAAGAAATATCGACGTTACATATGTGTTCTGTTGGTTATTTCGTAATAAGCCTGGAGTTGTCTCTTACGGTTTCTTCTTCTAAGAGTTGTTTTCTGGGGACATTGCAGGGAAGAAAACGACATTCAATGACGACGAGTGAGGCCATCGGAGGAGTATCGACACTCGCTGTGACTAGAGTGAGACGCGGTACTGGACAGGTTTTCTAGTGATATGCTATATTTATGAACGAAGCAGCAAGACACAGACCGACCCATAATTTTGTATTTTGGAGACAGCGTACCCATTTCGATTGCAATTTTGATATCTTGAATGTTTTGATATTTTACGAGTGAAAAGTTAGTTCTGCTTTATCTATAGCCCGGTACACGGTAGGTGCTCAACTAAGCGCATGCATTGGTCCGTGGACAGAGCTTCTAAGATAAAAGGATAAGATAGTTATATCGGTAGCATCTCTGTGCCTAAGATGAATCACTATCGCACTGGTTGATCTGACCACTTCGATGCCCTTTGTAGTTTGTAGTTTTAAGGCGTTTAGTTCTCTGAATCTAGTCCATTCTCGTTCGACTCTCGGCCTTGGCTTGTATTATAGTGGGGTTAAGCGTGACGAGTTCACTTAACGGATGATGTTGCCGCGGATCTTAAACTTAACATTCAATTTGTGGGGAGTCCATGCAACCTTTTTCATTGTCAAAGAAAAGAAATGAACAAAAGAGTCATCTTGGACGGCTTCTCTCTTTCCTCACCGACTTTCCTTGATGAAAGTCACTTGCACGGTTTCGAATGGTCCGTAACCAATACGAGCTTGGACTTTTCTTCCTGAGTCAGATCCTTATTTATCAGCCGCACACTGTACAAATACTAAAGGGAGTTATTTTGATTCGATCTTGTCCGATTTGAGTGGCATTTTCACCAACTTCCTTGATGAAAGTCTCCGAATAATCCATAACCAATGTGAGCTTGGACTTTCCTCTATCGACCACACATTGTCCAAACTTTGAAGAGAATTATTTTGATTCAATCGTCTCCGGTTTGAGCGGCATTTCACGGAGAAAATTTCGAGCTCGATGACACAACTGGTGAACATTCTCGGGGCTCACCTCGATAGCTCCAATTCGAGAGTCATCGGATAAAAGAGCGCACCATAGAACCTGTAGCATGTAAGAAAGAAAATCCATGTCACCCCATTTTTAATTCAACATTTTCTTAGGTGGGAAAACAAAAATTCTTCCTAGCACTTTTGACTTCAAAATCATGTCGCACCCCATCTCTAACAAAACACAATAATTGACATCACACGCTGATTCTGTCACATGTCTTATGGACTAAGAGTAGATGCCAAACGGATAGTTTCAATAATATGTCCGTATCCGCCGTATAATTCTATCTGCATTTGTCGTAATTAAATGCTTAAGGATCGTATTCTTAAGCGTAAACAAAAAAAGTGTCCGCAACAACACTCGGATAAAATACCGGGACACACCTACGTAACCGTACAATTTGTTGGGAAGCGAACTGCCAACGAAAACGGGCAGTGCGGAGAGAGCGAAAAGCGCCTCTCCGTCTCCTTCCCTCGATCAGCGATCCCCGGCCATGATCCTCGTCGATGGCGTCCCGATCCTTCCCGTCTCCGATCCCGACTCGCCTTCGCCGTCTCAGGTACTTCTCCCTTCCGTAAATCCCCCCCCACCCCCCTCCGGCGTTCGCCTTCGTCCGATCGCCGCCGTCGTCGGACGAAGCTAAGTGAAGTCGATGTCGTTGACCTCTCGTGCGCGGAGGATGGCGAAACAGGGGCGATGTTTCCTCTTGGTTTCGCGGGCTTCGCTCGACGATCGGAGTGGAGAAATGGTTGGGGAAAATCGTGACGTGACGATGACAGTGATCGGAGTACTTCGCCCTCTCTTTTTCTGTGTGCTTGTGAATCTTTTGACCTCAAGCTTTGCGTATGGGATGGCGACGTGGTTTTTGTTTCGAGGAGCTCTCTCGGGCCTCCGTCGAGAGTCTGTCTGGCCGTAATGTGATTGGATAAAGATTGACAGAGAAGAATGTTGAAAAGAAAAAGTTAGTGTTTTAAGCGCTGCCGTGTTCGGGCACTTCTCCTGTGCTTGATCTACGAAACGTCAGTCAGTCGATAGCGAACATAAGATGAGAAATTTCGTGTTTGGCCCGCAAAACCAATCGCCGAAGAGATTCGCTTCGAGTTTTAAGTGAACAAGGTTTGACTTATGCCCTATTGCTTTGATGGGGTCCTGTTATCTGATTAATTTGTAGAAGACATGCGTTGGAAGATCAGCTGGGCCAAAGTTCGTTTGAATCCCAGTTGTGCAAGATAGTTATTGGTATGGTCCATTTGATGCGGCCCATGATTCGAGCACACACCTCGAGTCTGAATCCTTTTACTTTATTTTTTGTTCTTCCACTATACTTCGTCCAGTTGATAAACACCTTGCGATGGAAAAAGAATCCATCAAGCAGTGCGTCGCTCATAAGATTAGCAATGGTCTTTGACATAATCGTGCAAGCAGACACTAGATTGAAAAGCAGCCCAAACTAGTGAAAACTTCGTTCCGTAACAGAAGACAAAGTAAGCATATGAAGCTCCCAGCTAGAATTGACAGAACCATACCATTTCTGAACTTAGAATTATATGATGTGGGCGTCCAACTTGTGCTTCTCACTAGAATTAGTACTAAACATATTGAATTGATAGCTGTGGGTATGGGCATCACTTTCTGTTGTATAAGAATTAGGTAAAGAAACTTGCTGGTGAAAACTTCTTCATGTTCATCTCTTTTGCAGTTTAAGCTCGTTTCATCTGCTGCATATATATCTATCTTGTGACGGCTTCTTCTTTCTTACTTGTCAACAGGTTCTGGAAATCTTAGCTGCTTTACTGGACCACCCATCTTTATTATGTGCCTTGCATTTATTCAAAAATACCCCAGAGAGGAGGTTTTCCATTTCAGAGGAGTCTGGTTTGGGGAGCATTACACAGCCTAAATGTGTTTATGTATTCCAAAGAGAATATGCGATTGTTGACCCTGCTTTTGTGGATGTATGGTTGTTTCCCTTTTGTCTTTCAGAATAATTGGAATGTTTGCTTATCTTTGGAGTACTTTGTTTATTACTTGTGAAACTACTAATGACCGTTTTCCATTCTACATGACAGGTTGCCGGGACTGATGAAGCAACTACATGTGTGGGGCTTATCATTCGGAATCGGTCAAATGGAAAGTACGAAGCAAATGTGGCAGAATTAAGAGAGGCTTGGAAATGATAAACCTGTTGCGTCAGATATATATCCTTAAGTCTGCATGCTCATCTTTTTCCTGTTGAATCTCAGGATTTCTATTGCCCATTTGGATTCTCCAGATATTGTGGAAATGGGTCTTGCTCAGATGTTATCACAAACTTTTGATCACGACTTGCAGGATGAGATGGATGTACTGGTTTTGTATCTTTTATCAAAAAAAGCAAAGCTGTGAGGTTTAACAATTCTTGATTATTTTCACGTTCTTATGCAAAGTCTTGTTAAATGCTGAAATGCAGGTTCATCTTATTGGTGGTTTTGAGGATGCTTCTCTTAAAGTCTGAACCGAGATCCCCTTCTTTGTGATTATCAGCGGATGTACTATCCACTTAGAGGCAAATAAATGAGTTTGTTGTATTAATAGTTGAACTTTGTATGCAGCGAATCAACCGTAGTGATGGATCAGAAATCCATGGAAAAGTGGATGGTTATTCCTTACCACTGTGTATCAAATTGATCGAAACATTGTGGAGGAGACAAGAGAAATTTCATATCCAGACATTCTTTGTGCTTGGCCACAATACCAGATGGGATGCTGATGGACATGCATACCCTATTATTACTGGGTTCCTGGTTAGTGTCTGTTTCAGATGTACTTTTATTACATTGGTACCTTGTTTTAAATCATTTTTTAACATAGAAATGGAAACATAAAAGTAGAGTAATGGAAATGTGGACAATTTCTTTGTCATTCTGGGAGTAAATCAAAGTGATAGAATCTTCTCTCGTGATAAATAGCAGTAGTCTGCATTACCACCTGAGAGACGTACTACATCTAGTGACAAGATGGCCTATTTCGAGTCCAACACTGGCTTCTCATTACAGGACCTAGGTAATGTAATCTAAGCAAACTTGTAATAAAGGAAGCTATTCTATTAATTCCTTGACTGTCTCTTGAAGGTCATGATGTGTCGCATTTTCCTGAATTTCAGCAATTGGAGTTTCCTTATATGTCAATTTTCTGTGTTCCAATAATTTACAAACATGGTATTATTATGGCTGCGCATCAAATGTTTAATATTTTGCATTTCGTCTGTCTAAGTTTGATGTAAACTCTTGTTCATCGAGTGTTCGTCAGGTGGAGACATCCAATGGGTCTGTATTTCCTGCCTGTTTCGATAGATCTTCCAGATGTCCCGATGAAGTTGTCCGGCGAATTCGTATAACTGCATGCAATGATGACTCGACTTGGAGGGGCAAGTTGCTGGAAACCTATCATACTCAAGATGATAAATTCATAATTGCACCTTGCTATTGGTAAGAAAATTGCTATCAAATTTATAGTCAGTATGCATTGCCAAGCACATAACACGCAGACATTGTCCTGCTTTTGCCTTTTAAGTTATTCAAGTTATAGTTATGCTTTGTGTATGTTGTTGACACGATGTAGGTCTTGGCATCAGTTTCACATTGCTTTGACACTGCAGCACCTTTCTGACTCCCAAATACTTCTCACGTGTTCGACTTCACCTTATGCCGAAGGTCCAGATTTTGTTGATAATGAACGGAGGTAAGTTCAAACTAAAGAGTTTGAGTTTTGTCTCAGCAATAGCTGCTGGACTCTCCTCTTCTTTCTGAGTTAGTCAGTATGCTTTTCATGCCTAAATACGACTGCAACCAGACTTAGACGGGTGTTCTGCTGATTAGCCTTCTTCTTTAGCTTAAGTGCCACTTCCATTGTCAGAGAAAATATTCGAAGTAAAGATTTTTTGCTAGTTGCTTCCACATTGGAGGGATATAACTCTTTGAAATCCCTGTGGTTTATATTATGGTGAATTCTCGGTGGCGTAAATGGGTGATTGTTGTAGGTGATTGCTTGCTGTTGTGCTCAATGTGCTGCATATATCATTCTTGCAATTTACCCAGAATTCAGAGAGGGTCTACTCGCACATTGCTTGGTTCTTGCAAACAGATTGCTTATGTCATTTTATATTGATCAGGCAGCTCGATTATATAATTAAACACCCAGATTGGAGGGAGACTTTCCCCAAGGAGCAACCGCGTGTATTTGAGAGGAATGGTCAAGGAGGTTGGAGAAGATGCGGTGATTGACATGAAGTCCCCTGGACAACCGTGAATGAAACTCAAGCTATCTATGGAACTATTTACTTACCTACCTGAAGTTCCCCTTGGAGTACGTACTTGCAAATGTTTACCCAAGAAACTTTCACCTGGGCTTAGCTCTCTCCCAATTGTGTCCACTTTCTCAGCAAATAGCGTAATACGGGGTTGGGCCATGAGGATGATGTTTACGTTGAAAATGTCCTAGTTGCCAGCAGTCCGTTGAGCTGTTTGAGAAACATGTTTGGTTAGATTGTTCATGTAGTCCCATTTGATCTCAAGGTAACCTGACTCTCATGTTAGTGCGTGGCGTCGTACACATCATATATATCTGCCACAAGCACGGTGAGCGCACTTGGTCTATGTAGATTTAGTAGTTCGGGATTTTGTTTTAAGTGACGTCGTAAGATGAAGTTTCCCGAATTTTTGGAGCAAAATTGGCATCTTCAATTGCCTCGAATTAAGCCCTCGTACATGCATTAGAATCATGCTAGCACCTCTTGTATACGGGGGCAGGGCCGACCTGGCTTAATTCTTACTACACTCTGAGGGATTTGTTACTCAGAGCACGGTGCCCTGCAGCTCTAAGGAAGCACTCGAATTGCATAAGTAGAAATGACGATCGGCATCGACCGCATAAGTCGAGAGATCTATCTTCTCAAGACGCTATACCGGTACTTCCATTTCAAGTCGGCATTTTGAAGCGGGGTAACACGCATTCTTGTAGTTTCTTCTAATGTTTCATAAACTGCAGGTATGGCAAATTTAAGCCGAATCGAACTTTCTCTTTCTCGCGGTATTATGTGATCAGAAGTTCTATGAAAATGAATCATATCACCCTTATATACTTGGGCATGTGTAACTTGAGTATAAACAAAAATATTTCCTGAAGCCTTGGTCTATTGAAGTCGATGCTATACAATTATCCAAAAGGGAACAGGACTTACTATTTGTTAGAAATCTTATCACCCAAGTTCCTTTTTAACACCCATCAACTCAGCCAAAAGCATAATGACTGGGGGTAAATTCTTTTTAGACATCTATGGTAGTTGAGAGTAATTGATATAGTCAGAGAAGGCGTTCGTAGGCTTTCAAGATCCTTGTAACATATAATTAGGATATTTCCCAATGTAAAAAATAATTACGATATTTTTCTCAATTCTCTGTATCTTTTAAAATTGCGAATATATCTTCATTGATTGTGCATGTCCCTGATAGACTATAATTAAAATCATGATTATTTAGTGTTCGAAATAAACGCGGAAAAACAAATACAGAATAGAAGGATTTACGTGGTTCGATCACAAGGTGATCTACGTCCACGGGCGAGGCAAAACAAGATTCCACTATAATCAAAGAGAGTACAGTTTTCAGAAGTAAAAAAAACGACTTAACAAAACATCACGGCTCACAAATCTCTCCCAAAACGAAAAATCTCTCTTAATCAATGAAAAAACCTAGCCGCAGTATAAATAGGGCTCCCAAAAAAATTTCCTCGGGAGCTACGCCCCTGAACCCCCCGAGACATTTGTTCGCTTGCTCCAGCTTGGGCGGACCACCATAGAGATTTGTTCGCTTGCTTCGGGTTGGGCTTATCGGCCCAACCCTCCGCATCACAAACTAAATCTCAAATTTTTTTTTTCACTTTTGGGTCGCACAAAAAATATGTCGGGTCGGGTGATGAACTGGACTGAATACATAAAATTCAAGACATATTTAACATTTCGTTACATTAAATAGTTATCTAATAAAGAAATATCGCATTTCTCTCTTCCGCATTAATCTTATATTGGTATCAGATTTAGACAATCCCGAGTGCATCGGGTGCACATTGTGCACCTCTTATCTTGTGTGTTTTGTCTTCTTTTTCAATAACTATTAATATCTCTCTCGCAACGACAATCCTCAACACCGTGCAGTAGCCACGGCAACACATAATATCTACGTAAGCAGCCGCATCAATGTCAATCGGTTCTCTTTTCAACATATCACTTTAGTGATCCAACCAAGCAATTTTTTTTTCTAATTGAATTGAGTGAATGTTAGATATAATTAGGAAGTTTCTCTATGTTAGAGATAAGTAGGATTATCTCTGTTATGAAATACATGAATGAATATTCATTATATTCAATGTACCTATTATGGCACATTCGTAACCTACATACATGAATGAATATTCAATGTACCTATTATGGTACATTTGTAACCTACATTCTACATACATTTCCAATGAATACCCATCTCCCTATTCAATGTATATATTCAATACATTGACATTAATGATATGTGCATCCTTGTTTTCTTATAAATAGAAGCTTAGTTTTGGTCATTGTGTAAAAGAAATTAGAACAGAAGAAGAGAATGAAAGAGGAAACTATACAGTGAAAATAAAATTTCTCCTCTGACTTTCTCTACCATCTTTGGTGTTTATCTACTTTCTCTTCTTAATCTCTCTCTATTCTCTCTATTATATTCTTGCAACGCAATATTTTACAACACGTTATCAGCATGAAGATCTACCAATTGAGTAAATAATTTTTGCAAGAATTATGGCAAATATTGAAAAGCCCAAATTCCACATCCTGGAAGTGAGTGGAAATAATTATCTATCCTGGTGCCTTGACATGGAAATGCACCTCCAAGGGCAAGATCTCGCTAATGCAATTACATAAGACGGAACCTCAAATGCAAAAGATAAAGCAAATGCACTGATTTTTATTCGTCGTCATTTGCATGAGAGCCTGCAGACTCAATATTTATCCGTTCGAGACCCTCAGACCCTGTGGAAGAGGTTGAAGGATAAGTATGATCATACCAAGACTGTTATCCTTCCTCAAGCACAATATATATGACTGGCAAAATCTCAGACTACAAGATTTTAAATCAGTGTCTGACTATAACTCCGCTTTATTTGATATTGTTTCTCGGCTTGAGTTATGCGGTATCAAACTCACTGATGCGGAACTGTTAGAGAAAACTTTCTCCACCTTCCATGCTTCGAATATTGTATTGCAACAGCAATACCGGCAGCGTCAATTTGCCACATACTCTGAATTAATTTCTGTGCTCCTCACTGCTGAGCAAACTAATGAATTTCTGCTCAAAAATCATGATCTTAGACCTGCTGGCTCAAAAGCATTGCCTGAAGCACATGCTAACTCTGAGAAAATTACTGGCCATTTTAAGGGCTACAAGCGCAGACAAGAATATAATCCTCGAAGGGGTGGCAGGAAATTTAACCGCCCTAGGAAATCTAACTTTGGCCCGAATCATGACAAAGAAAAGAAGTCAAAGAATGTGACTAATAAAAGTATTTGCCATCGTTGTGGCATGACTGGGCACTGGTCACTGGTCATGTACTTGTCGTATACCAAAGCACTTTGTTGATCTATACCAGGCATCTTTAAAAAATACGGGCAAGCGTGGTGAATCTCACGTCATTGAAATTAATCCTGCTGCCTTAACCACTGTTGAGGCCAACAATATCTCTGTTGGTGGGACTCCTCTTGCTCCTGAAGTAGCAAATGCATCCCTGGATGTCTCTGATTTCTTTGAGGACCTCTGATTACTTTGATGAGGCATCACACTGGTGGATGATAACTTAGACTTCGAATTTTATGATTCTAATAAGTTCTTTTCTAGTTGCTTTTCTTTAAATGTATTACCTTTTATTGTTATTTAATATGGTTATGCAATGAAATGCTTATGAACTTGATATAATATTTATAATTTTGAAATTTTATTTGATCGTATAATTAATATGAAAATTTTATGATACTTGACACCTGAAGTTGTCAACATAAAAGCAAATGGAAAATACCGAGAAAAAGAAAGATGTTTGTTTGCTTGATAGTGCATCAACACATACCATATTTCGTAGTAGACACTTTTTCTCGAGTATGACATTGCGTAAGGCACATGTCCATACAATATCAAGTCCTATTCCGATTATTGATGGTTTCGGGAATGCCACAATTGTTTTGCCAAAAGGCACCATCCTGCATATTGAGAATACATTTCTAAGCAGTAGATAAAAAAGGAATCTGCTTAGCTTCAAAGATGTACGCCGTAATGGGTACCATATTGAGGCTATTTATGAGCAAAATAAAGAATATATTGGCATTACCTCTTATAAGATGGGCCTGAAGACCATCCATGAGAAGATAGAAGCTTCTTCTATGGGTTTGTATTGTGTCATGATTAAGGCCATTGAAACCTGCGCCATCATATCCTGGAGATTGGTAAACCCTGATCAGTTTGGATTATGGCATGATCGCCTTGGTCACCCTGGCGCTTCAATGATGCGTAGAATAATCCAGAATACAAAAGGGCACCCTTTAAAGGATACAAATGTATTGTTGTCCAAAGATTATAATTGTGAAGCTTGTTCACAAGGAAAACTCATTATCAAACCTTCTATAACAAAGGTTGATCTTGAATCCCATTTACTCTTGCAAAGAATTCAGGGTGATATTTGTGGACCAATACAACCACCAAATGGACCATTTCGATATTTTATGGTACTAGTGGACGCATCCTGTAGATGGTCCCATGTTTGTCTATTATCTACGCGCAATGTCACATTTGCACGTTTACTTGCGCAGATTATAAAGCTCCGGGCACAATTCCCTGATTATCCAATTAAAAGCATAAGGATGGATAATGCTGGTGAATTTACGTCAAAGAGTTTTGATACGTATTGTGCTTCACTCGGAATCGAGATTGAGCACCCGGTCGCATATGTTTATACTCAAAATGGATTAGCAGAATCCTTGATTAAACATATCCAAATCATTGCCTGCACTCTATTATTGAGAACGAATCTCAACGATACAGCATGGGGTCATGCAGTTTTGCATGCGGCAGCCCTAATAAGATTGCGCCCCACTACTAGTCTCTTACAATCTCCCCTTCAAATGGTTCTTGGTTATGAACCTGATATTTCACATTTACGCACCTTTGGTTGTGCAGTACAGGTGCCTGTAGCACCGCCAAAAAGAACGAAAATGGGTCCCCAACGCCGTTTGGGCATTTATGTTGGGTTTAATCCACTGTCCATCATTAGGTTCTTGGAACCAACTACTGGTGATCTTTTTACTGCCAGATTTGCAGATTGTCATTTCAATGAGACTATGTTTCCATCAATTGGGACACCTAAAACTGACATGGCTGCAAAGCAAAAATCAGTTAAGGTTTTCTCTTGGAATGAGAAAAAATTATCTCAATTAGACCCAAGAACTCCTGAGTGTGAAAACGAGGTGCAGCGCATAAGCCATCTACAAGCTATCGCCAATAGACTTCCTGACGCATTTAATGATGCTTCTAAGGTAACGAAATCTCATATTCCAGTTGCAAATGCTCCAGCTAGGATAATTGTTCCCGAAGTACAGGCTAAAATGGATCAAAATCCCCCACATTTGAAGCATGGTAGACCGATAGGATCAAAAGACACTGTTCCTCGAAAACGAAGGGGAAAGAATCAGGAATCCGCTCCAGAAGAGCCAGGTGTTGTGCTTACTCCTAAAGAGCTTAATGCCCCTGAAGAGGCACAAACCCATGAAAAGATCACCAACCCTAGAAATACTGAGAATTCAATTACATATTGTAATAAGATTTGGGATTGGAATGAAATCATCATTGATGATGTTTTTGCATTTTCAATTGCTCATAAAATTATGGATGATGATTGTGAGCCGCAATCTAATATTGAATGCCGTCAAAGGCAAGATTGGTCTAAGTGGGAGGAAGCAATTAAGGCTGAATTAGCTTCCTTAGCTAAACGAGAGGTTTTTGGATCCATAACTCGCATCCCCGATAATGTAAAGCCCGTTGGATATAAATGGGTATTTGTCCGAAAACGAAATGAGAAAAACGAGGTTATCAGGTATAAAGCCCGACTCGTTGCCCAAGGATTCTCCCAGAGACCTGGGATTGATTATGATGAGACATATTCACCTGTGATGGATATGATTACATTTCGTTTTCTCATTAGTCTGGTACTCTCTGAAAGATTGGAAATGCGTCTTATGGACGTTGTGACGGCATATCTATATGGCTCATTAGACTCGGATATTTATATGAAAATTCCCGAGGGATTCAAAATGCCTGATGCATGCACTCCCCGCAACTTATTCTCAATAAAATTGCAAAGATCTTTGTACAGGTTAGAGCAATCCGATCGCATGTGGTATCAACGCCTAAGTGAGTACCTAATTAAGGAAAGGTACAAGAATGATCCTATCTGCCCATGCGTGTTTATTAAGAAATTAGAAACCGGATTTGCTATTGTACCAGTTTATGTCGACGATATAAATTTAATTGGAACTCCAAAAGAATTAGCTAAAACTGCTGAGTATTTGAAAAAGGAATTTGAAGTTAAAGATTTGGGTAAAACCAAACTTTGTCTTGGTCTAGAGCTTGAGCATAAAGCAAATGGAATAATCGTCCATCAATCAGCATACATTGAAAGATTACTTAAATGCTTCAACATGGACAAGGCTCACCCATTGAGCACCCCTATGGTTGTAAGGTCTCTAGATCCCCAAAAGGATCAATTTCGTCCTAGAGAATCTGATGAAGAGATACTTGGTCCTGAAGTACCATATCTCAATGCAATTGGGGCTTTGATGTACTTGGCACAATGTACGAGACCAGACATCGCTTTTGCGATAAATTTATTGGCACGTTTTAGTTCTGAGCCAACTCGGAGACACTAGAATGGAATTAAACATATTTTTCGTTATCTCCAAGGAACCATAGATTTGGGATTATATTATTCCAAGGATTCCACTACCTCTGGTTTAGTTGGATATTCTGATGCTGGATATAGATATGATCCGCATAAAGATCGCTCTCAAACCGGTTATTTATTTTGTTATAATGGCACCGCCATTTCATGGCGTTCTATGAAGCAATCGCTAGTAGCTACATCTTCCAACCACTCTGAGATTATTGCTTTATATGAAGCTGGAAGAGAGTGTGTTTGGTTAAGATCCGTTATAACACATATTCACAATTCTTGTTGTTTAACACTGGTTACAAATTTTCCCACTATAATTTATGAAGATAATGCTGCTTGTGTTGCACAAGTTAGGGGAGGATATATCAAAGGTGATAGGACCAAGCATATCTCGCCGAAATTTTTCTATACTCACGAACTCCAAGAAAGTCGACAAATTGATGTTAAGCAAATTCAATCCATAAATAATCTTGCAGATCCTTTTACCAAATCATTGCCAACGTCAACTTTTGAGAAATTATTATATGGCATTGGTATGCGGCGAGTTCATAAGATCCAAGATTAACTAGCCCGGGCAGTGGCTATATAGCTCAAATTAAGGGTCAGATATTGTGAACTATGCATTGCACTCTTTTTCCCTTTTGTCCGGTTTTTGTCCCATTGGGTTTTTCCGGCTTAAGGTTTTTAATGAGGCAATTAATGCATCCATAAAAGGGAGAGATCATAAAATTTGTGCTCTGTACTCTTTTTCCCTTTTGTCCGGTTTTTGTCCCACTGGGTTTTTCCGGCTTAAGGTTTTTAATGAGGCAGTATCATTCAATGCACATTCATGAATACAATGAATATTCAAGGGGGAGTGTTATGAAATACATGAATGAATATTCATTATATTCAATGTACCTATTATGGTACATTCGTAACCTACATACATGAATGAATATTCAATATACCTATTATGGTACATTTGTAACCTACATTCTACATACATCTCCAATGAATGTCCATCTCCCTATTCAATGTATATATTCAATACATTGACATTAATGATATGTGCATCCTTGTTTTCTTATAAATAGGAGCTTAGTTTTGGTCATTGTGTACAAGAAATTAGAATAGAAGAAGAGAATGAAAGAGGAAACTATACAGTGAAAATAAAATTTCTCCTCTGACTTTCTCTACCATCTTTGGTGTTTATCTACTTTCTCTTCTTAATCTCTCTCTATTCTCTCTATTATATTCTTGCAACGCAATATTTTACAACAATCTCTTAATTCTTCGTATCTCTCAAGATTACACATATATCTCCATTAAATGTACATATCCATATGACTAACTTGTTAACTTAGATAGTCATTCAATAAAAGCATATAAATAATCCCATACACTCTCCATAATAAATACATTTAAATATATCGAAATTTCACATTTCTTTCTTCTGCATTATTCTCATCTATCCTAATTACCTCATTCTTCTTCTCTGCGGATCTTTATGTTTTTTTTTTAAATTGTATTGTAATTGCCACGTAAGATGCAACATAAGGTAATACGTCAGCATTTAACAATCACATATGCATTTCCGTACATATTTCAACGGAAGGACCAATTTTGAACAGAAAAGTATATGATTTAAGGATTCGATTGCACAAATCAAAAAGGGATGGATCTAATTGAAACTTTACAAACTTCCAGGGACTAAAAAAAAAAAACAAGGCAGCCGTTACTTAACATAATTTTATCTCTCTCTGACCGCGACCTCCCTCCCTCTCCGTTTCTCACTCTCTTTTCTCTCCCCACCTCGCCGTAACGCTCGCCGCCGCCGCCGCCGCTGACGCCGGACCTTTTTCGGTCTCCACTTCCCGCTCGCGCCCGCGCCACCCGGCCCACAGCAACCCAGCTCCGCCTCCTTCGTTTCTTTTTTCAGCTCGCCGATTCCGAGTCGCCGCCAGTCTCCGCCGTGTCCACGCCTGGCTCGCCGTTTCGCCGGCGAAATCAAGGTGAACGCGTGATCGCCACGGCCGCTTTTGGTCATGCACTCAAGTTCGGTCATTGGTTTTATATTAGGCTGGAAATTCCAAGAAGTCTGAATTTTTCCATCAAATTTTGGTACTTGGGAGAGCGCGTAGAACCTATGTAAGACTGGTCACTGCTCGGGGAAACACGTTGGCATGATCTTGTTGGGAATTGCTTCTCTATCGACTGCGAGAGAGGAGTGTCCTTAGGAGAATTGCTTTTGAGGTGGGCATAGATTCATTGGCATCAATGTTGATGCATGATGTGCTCGGTTTTCAACTCTGTTCTTCTTGTGGTGATGTCGATACCTTCTGTGGACTCTTTTCATGATATGTGAATTGATTGCCGCGACTTCATCATCTGCATGGAAGCGAAACTTGTTTTCTTTGACCATCATGTATGTCTTGCTCCTTGTTCCAGTATTAGGACAATAATCAGAGTTTTCTTCTTCTTATGCAGGATGAATGGTTTATCTTTTGGAGAAAAGCTATTCATACAAGGGGGCACTGCACAAGACCTTCGCTCCGATGGCCGTAAACGACTAACTTACCGACCCATATATGTCGAAAATGGGGTCATTCCTCAGGTACTCTATAATTGCTGGCAGCACGTAAAAATGCCATGCTTGATAGTTTACATGGTGAGATTTGACCGATGCAAATTTTGTTTTGCACATATGACAGGCCAATGGCTCGGCCAGAGTTAGAATGGGTGGAACTGATGTCATTGCCAGTGTGAAGGTAGTTTAAAGCATGATTCTTTCTTTTTCCTTTTTGAAGGACTTGGCAGTTTGCTGTTGCAGTGGTTTCTTTCTGTTTCTACTCAATCTGCAGATGGATCCTGGTGTTTGTGGTTAATAGTGTGGTTCTCATTACACCCTGCTGATGTTTTCCAGTGCAGGCCGAAATTGGAAGACCAAGTCCACTACAACCCAACAAAGGGAAGGTTTCCATATATGTTGATTGCAGCCCAACTGCCGCTCCAATGTTTGAGGTCCTATACTTTTAATTCTGCTGCTTTCCAACATATCTATTCTAGTCATTTTAGTTTGCATGGATCTGCTAGTTCTAATTTTTCTCCCCTTCCATGTTTCTTTTGAATATCCCTGACTTGGAATAAGCAGAATAAGTGGATTGATATTGGTTGAGATTGAAAGGGTTGGTTTGAAGCCAAATACTGACATTTTGAAACTTTGTTCGTATAAGCTGCACCATGTTTGGTACAGTATGCTTCCGGTACACAATTAGAGAATAGATATGTATATCAGTTTTAAATTAACCTATAGCTGGCTGATTGCTGCCCTCAAACTGAACATTAACTCGGTTAGTATGGGATTGCTTCATGCTTCTATATGGCATCTGGTCTCTGAAGTAGCTTCTTGATATTTTAAATTTTCTCCCCTTGAGCAAGATAAATAGAAACCTAAAAAATACTGACATTCTGAAACTCTGTATAAATTGCACTATGTTTGCTACAGTATGCTTCCAATACACAGTTAGAGAATAGATAAACACATCAGTTTTAAATTGACTGATAGCTGATTGCCTTCGAACTGAAATTTGACTCGGTTATTATGGAGTGGCTCAATGTTCTAGATGGCATCTGGTCTCTGATTTATTTTCTGGATATTCTCAACTTTCCCCCCTTGAGCAAAATCATCAGAACCTAAATCTTTCCTCTATATACAATCAGTTGCAAATTGGATGTTTCACTGTCACTGTCCTTTGCCATATTGTTTTTAACTTCTGTTAGTTTCATCAATGTAACACTGCAGTGCAATTTTATGCAGGGTAGAGGGGCCGAGGAGTTGTCATCAGAACTCTCAGTTGCTCTCCTGCGATGTCTTTTGAGTGGGAAAAGTGGAGCAGGTTTGGTGGTACAGAGTTTAAAATGCCACAAGTTTCTACATAGATATCCTCTATACATTCTCCCTCTGCATTTTCTTAGTGAAAACATAGTCTTCTGTTTTTTTTTTTGGCCACAGGCTATCGAATACGTATTAGTGCCTCTCATTTAAATCACATGGTGTGATTGTTTATATTTCACAGGTGCTGGAATTGATTTGTCATCTCTGATAGTTGTTGAAGGAAAAGTCTGTTGGGATCTGTATATCAATGGTCTTATTGTCAGTTCAGATGGGAATCTCCTAGATGCTCTTGGTGCTGCCATCAAGGTATACCTTTCTCGAGCATTTTGTTTGGTCAAACGTATTCTTAAAATGGTTTTTTGCTCGATAAATTCGGTACCTTCAACACCGTAATTAATTGTGTCCTGATCACAAGGTCCTTTGTTTAGTATGCTCTTAAACTTCTTCTGACATCCCTTGCATTGTTCCTTCTGGGGTGGAGGCTGCTCTGAGCAACACAGGCATCCCCAGAGTTCACGTTGCAGCGGAAGCATCCGGTGAGGATCAACCAAAACTTGACATCAGTGACGAAGAATTCTTACAATTCAACACGTCTAGGGTTCCTGTCATTGTTACATTAACGAAGGTATAGAGACTTAAGTATATCTCCACTTACAGAATTGTTTCAAATTCTCATCTTCTTCCTTGTCCAGGTGGGCAGGCATTATATTGTAGATGTGACTTCGGAAGAAGAATCAGAGATGAGCTCTGCTGTTTCTGTTTCCATCAACAGGCAAGGGTTAATTTGTGGTCTTACCAAGCGGGGTGTCACTGGTTTGGATCCAAGTTTCATACTCAATATGATATCTGTGGCTACGCATGTAAGTGAACAGCTAATCGATCGGTTAGATTCCGAGATATCTGCCGCTGAAGCTGTTGAAGAAGAATGATACTCGTCTAAGTCTTTACCTTCTTTTGGTATCGGTTAGATTCCAAGATATCCGGGCTGTGCTGCACATTCTTCTTTTGCTAATTTTTAATCCACAGTTACCCATATGTGGATGGGAAATGTCTTCAATCTGTTTGTCCTCACTGGCTACTCAGATTGAAGAAGGCATATGATTCTATCAATTTTAGGGAAAATGAGGTAGTGTACAAGTAATAGGATTCAAAATTTCCGTTGGGGAATGCTCTGGGACTTTATTCTCCCATTGTTGTCCATGTAAGTTATTTCTTTGCCATTAAGTTCAACAGTTAATGCTCTCGGTGCACCCTCTTTCTTTGGTTTAAATTTTGAGGTTGCCAACCAAACTAATCGGCCAAAAAATAAAAAAAACTAAAATATTTAAATAAAAAATGCACAATTTCTTCTCAGACTGGCTTAAGTTAAACTGGCTTAAGTTAATCTCCGTTTAGATTGCTTAGCCTGAGAGCTGTGGATAAAACCCGATGAGCGGGGTCAGATTATCTATAATAAAATTTCAATAGGAGACCAGAGAAGGATGAGCTCTCAGTGGAAGCAGTGAATGCAACACAAACGCTGAATCATGTCTATAAGTTTACATGGCGAAGGGGCTTAAGTTTTCTCTGGCCCCCCCAAAAATAAGACACTTATCATTTGTTTGTAAACTGGAAGACTGATTTGCCTGCTGTCATCAAGAAAAAAGAATCAAAAGAATGTGCATTTCAAGAACAAATCAAAAGAGTCTTCAAAAGTCAACTGCTGTTATCAAGTTTCCATCACTCAGTCCTAAAGGATTTACCAAAACCTGCTGGAATTAGAGTTCTAGCTTCCAACACTCCGCACAGTTTCATTGCCAACTGATCTGTCCTACAATGGCGAAGTTCGTGGCAAACCTTGGACAACCTATCTGAATCGGGAAGCATCAACCTATCGACCATTTCCGTGAGGACCTGGACTGCCCCATCGAGATCATCGCACTTTACAAAAGTACACGTCAACATAGCAAGAAGAGTTTCACTCTTTGGATGGCACACGCTCCTTGTCATGCTTCTATATAGCTGAAATCCACCGTCGGGGTTATTCCTGACACACTGCCCTCTAATGAGGGCGGAAGAGGTCGAATTGTTCGGAACTAAACCCTTGCTATCAAGATCTTTAACCAGATATGCAGCTTTCTTGGTCTTGCCATTCTTGCAGATCATAATATCAATGCGTTGTATGTAAATATATCGGCCTTCACTTCGTACTCTAACATTTCTTCAAAAAGCCTCCCTCTCTTTTCGTTGTTAATCATTCACTATATTCGCTAGGCCTATCAATGGTTCAGTTCGGTTCGGATTTCCATGATACCTTAACTAAACCATATGGAATGTCTGCATGCTTTGACTCGAACAGAACCGAAATCCGAATACGACCAGAACCGAAAATGCAGTTCAATTTGGGTATTTTGATAACCGTTTATAAATACATATTGCTAACTTTTACAAGTCACGTAAAATGTTATTTGGTTTCTTTGTAACTGTTGTTAACCATAGTTAATAGCTATAAGTACTAGGATTGTAAGTTGAGCAAAACCACCTCCAATCAATCAATGAACACTAGCTGTTCAATTTTATCTTCCTGTTTCAAAAACCAAACCTTTGGTTTCATGTTTAGGATGGGTACCATCTTGTCAATATTTAGCAGAGCATATTACAGTTTAGAAGGATGTACTCGAAAAAGAACATAATATAAAACTTGGAATAATCACGCTTCAAAAGCTAGCTATTAATGCAAGTGATCCTAAAACCATATACTGCTACATTGAAATCTCTACGACCCAAGTCCTATACCTTTCAATTACGATCGTGACTGCTTCAAAGTGAAATAGCTTCCAGGGAAGCAATTCAGGCTATTAAATTCTCTTCAAGGAAGATGGCGTAAAAAGATGTTTGCACGTATGGAGAAAGATCGAGTTCGTGCATCAATTGACCTACTCACTGTCTAGAGATCTCAGAAACAAAACAATACATTTCATCTAGAGTAAAAACAAGAATTCTACTGTGAACATAATAAAACCGTTCAAAAAGTGAGTCAACTTAAGCAAGAATCTTAGCTTGAGCCTTTATCTTTGTCTTTGCCTTCATGGCCAACAGCATCAGTCACCAAAGCCAAAGGTCTCTGATCAATAACTTCGTCAATGATCCCGAACTCCTTTGCCTCTTCTGGGGTCATAAAATAATCTCTGTCCATATTCTTCTGAATAATATCTACTGATTGTCCAGTATGTGTAGCATACAGCGCATTTAGCGAGTCCCAAATCCGAATTATTTGTTTAGTGTGAATTGTCATATCCTTAGCCTGGCCACTATAGCCACCAGAAGGCTGATGAATCATAATAGTCGCATTTGGCAGAGACCGTCTCTCGCCCTTGGCACCGGCAGCTAGAAGGAGAGAAGCCATGGATGCAGCTTGACCCAAACAAATAGTATTGATGGGAGATTTAATATACTGCATGGTATCATAAATTGCAAGACCTGCAACAAAGCAACTAATCAACAATTCAAATATTTATCTAGAACGGGAATTGAAATGTTTCACAGAACCCAAGCTTCCCAAGTTGATTTACGAGTATAAGCATTCTGCCACACTAATTGCCCTAAAATTTAGCACACAGCCCTACATTGCACTCGACATGCTGTTCCATACACATACAAATACATGTGTAAACATCTTGACTGTTACACTCGAAGTAACTTCACCCAAGCAAACTTTATTTATTATCCGAACAGACTCAGTGAATGCAAGTTAGAACAGATCGCTTACACATAGAGAAGCTTAAAGAACCCCACATTCCAATGAGGTCGGACAGATCAGTTGTACAGACTACTTAACTTCAGAAACTCTAGCTTGGATAAATATTTTCCGAAAGCATGTATGACGACCTTATCTTGAACCTTGTGACAGAACAAAGGGACTCATTCATATTACATCTGGCTGTTAGAACCCTAAATCAAAGAGGGTAAAGTACAAAGTAGACACTGTTGTTGAGGAATAACAGAATAAGTGGTTGGTTGGATATTCAGTATCCGGTCGTGTCTATTGTCTATGATCTGGCAACAGCAACAAATGACCAAATATGGTCCAATCCTTTCATATAACTTCCCTTTTTTCTTGTCCTGTCCACCTTAGCCACATCTAAGATATACCCCTAATCTTTCTCTTTCTGATGATACATCCAATCCAACTGGAAAAATCAATATAATATCCTAACACAAAATGCACTTTTGCAGGAAGAAAAAATTTCAAAGAAAACGGATATCTGTTTAAAGCAACAAGGGGAAGCTAACCTAAGTACAGACATGTGATCTACTACGTCTACGGAAAAAAACTTCAATAGAACAAGATAGGTAGGTAAGAGCAAATGATTCAGTGAACTTGAAACCCAAGATGACCCGTACATAAAACTATTTTTCTGAGACTCAGCTCATCTCTTGAGTTACATCGGTTCACATATTCGGCATTATTTCCATCAAAAAGTCGAACACTGGAAAGACGCAAGTCTTTCGCCAAAAGTGCATCAATAGGTTAGGTCTATCTAGAATTTGTAGCTACGTTGATAACAGGGGCGGCTCGCGAGGCTATCGACTACAGACACCAAGGACAAAATCTAAGGGCTCTGATCAGGAATTGCAGTTACGGCTCGCTTAACTAATAAAGTTTTTTCTTTTGGCCAATTAATTAATAAAAGTTAAGGTTTTGCCTTCTTTTTTTAGGGTCCAACAATATAAGTATGACTAATTACTTTCGCTTCTCCTCATGTCAACCTCTTGCCTTCGATGACAGAATTCCCTCTTCTTCCAATTCACAGGAGCATCGAGTAAGATCATTCTACTGATTACTCCAAAGAAAAAAGATTCTTCCCCTGACTACCTATAGATCCAACAGCAGCCCCCAAGTGCCAAATGCATTTGCCAATCCATCGTCAATTCGCAGATTCAAACATCACTAAACAAAGTATCATCACGCCGCATCAAGTTAAACCTATTTAGCATCCGCAAGCATTCACTTGTCGGCCCAATAGGGAGTCAGTTCTTAACTATTGCAAAACCCGTCATGCCACAAACAAAGCAACGAGCAACCACGACAAGAGAAACGAATCGGGCCTACCCGACGGCCCTTCGCCCGCAGACTTCAGCGGATTCGCCAATCGGAGATCGAGAAGTTCGAAGCAAATGGCAAACAAAAAGAAAGAAGGAAGAAGAAGAAGAAGAAGAGGGTGACCTGCGGTGACGGCGCCGCCGGGGGAGTTGAGGTACATGTGGATGGGCTTGGAAGGGTTCTCGGACTCGAGGAAGAGGAGCTGGGCGACGACGACGTGGGCGGTGTCGTCGGAGATGGGGCCGTTGATGCAGACGATGCGCTCCTTGAGGAGGCGGGAGAAGATGTCGTAGGCTCGCTCCCCCCGGGACGAGTGCTCGATCACCATCGGTATCAAGCTGTAGCTCCTGCGAGCCGCTCCTAGGGTTGCCGCCGCCGACGACGCCGACGCCGCCGCGCCGCCCCTCGCGGCGGAGAGTAGCTGCTTCGAGGTGGAGGTGGAGGTCAAGCCCCGCTTCAGCATCGCCATTGCCATGATCTCCGTCTGGAGATGCGAGAGCGAGAGCGCGAGGCGAAGAAGATGGAAGGGAAGAAGAAATGAGAGAGCAATGCATTTAGGGGTTTTCGGTTATGGGGGGTTTTATGTTCCCGGCATGGGTCATTATTGCGTCATATATTGAGAAATTGTCCCTCAATACATTGGCTAAAATCAAATTCAATTTAATATACTATACTATACTATACTTAGATAATAATTTATGGTAAATGTATACACTTGACTAGGTAGGATCATTTGTCGTGTAAACAACTTTATGATCTCAACTCAATTTGATCTCGACCTTTTAAGAGCAAGTGTCGTGTGCATTGAACGACACCTAAATAAATCTACTTTTAAAAAATAATTTCATGAGTGGCAGCCGGAGTTTGAGCACTTTCAAGTTCAAATGTTTTACATCCGACCAAAACAAAAAAAAAAAAAGTTTCAAATGTTTTGCTTAATTAGACACTTTACTCTTGACCAAGGACGCTGGGCATTTCGAATTTGCTCGGAGCTCCTACTTACAGCCGAGCTCGGTCACGTCTCGTGTTATTACTCGCGAAAGGAAAAATTTCAAACGAAACTGTCCCGGTAAAACCATTTCGAAAAATTACCATCTCTTGAGCAGTTTATTCCAAAAGGTAAAGATTAGAATATTGCACTCTTATTTGTACCAGGATTCTGCCACA